CCGTCCCATAGTGAGAGATTGAATAAGTATATTTTGGAATAACATGACAATGTGAAAACTAAACTAATGGAAAGCACATGCACAATGAGTAGAGATCAACAAGGTAAGGATCCGGGACATGAACTTGACAATGAGAGACTAGACTAGTGGAAGCACATGCACAAAGGAGAAGAGTTTAACAAAGTAAAACGATCCGGAACATGAACTTGACAATGGGAGACTAGACTAATGGAAAGCACATACACAATGAATAGAGATCAACAAGGTAAAGATCCGGAACATGAACTTGACAATTAGAGACTAGACTAGTGGAAGCACATGCACAAAGGAGAAGAGTTCTACAAAGTAAAAGATCCGGAACATGAACTTGACAATGAAGACTAGACTAGTGGAAAGCACATGCATAAAGGAGAAGAGTTCAACAAAGTGAAAGATCTTTCCAGGCCTTTTCTCAAGCCTGCACAAAGTCGATTACTCATCCATTCTTTTCTTCCGGACATCTTGCCAGGCCTTTTTTCAAGCATGCGCAAAGTCAATTACTCATTCATTCTTTTCTTCTGGACATCTTGCCAGACCTTTTCTCAAGCTCATGCAACGTTAATTATTCATCCGTTTCTCTTCTTGACATCTTGCCAGGCCTTTTCTCAAGCTTGCGCAAAGTCAATTGCTTTTCCATCCTTACGCTGATGGTATCCTTCTCTTTTGCACGCTTTTTCTTCGGTAGATGGCACACCTTCCCCCCACTCAAAACGCGATGTCCCCATCGCGCGACTGGTTCTCACTCGGAGGTACGCAGACCTTTGGCCCACCAACCGCAGTTAAGGACACAAGCCCGTCCGCTTCACAAAAGGAAGAGTGATCAGCTCCTCCCCAGCGAATGACGCCTCATCCTCCTACTCGGTCCGACCTTTCTTTTCTTACGTGGCGAGCACCAATACTGAGGTTCCTCCTCACGCTTGGCAGGCAGGTCCAATCCAAGCCTTTTAGGGCCTCGTCTAGCCGTACGAGCGTTCCTCGCGAATCGTTCCTCCCGAGTGGTAATTTTCTGGATCCGTCCTCTTCCTTTCAAGAGAGTTGGGGCTTTCTATTAGTCTGCGAGTGCAGTTACGAAGACCTCGCGGTAAGTCCCGGAACGGTTGTAATGATCCGGCAGGGCGGTGTCACTCGCCCTGTGGTGGTTGCGGCTTCCACTCGGTACCACGCCCGATTCCTCCCTCTGGACAGTGCTGCTCAACTTAACGCGAGCGGCCGTGGTCCATTCCAAATGGTCGTGCCACCCCTCTACGACATTGCGTGTGGTTGGGGAGAAAAAATGAGACTTAGGAAAAAAATGAGACTTAGGAAAAAGAAAGGCTCTCCCGCCCGTTTGGCACCACGCCCTTGACGTTTAGGTTTCAACATGAGGCGCAGTTTGAACTCCCCGACTCGAGCTCGTTGTCGGGGTTGGTTCCGGACGGCCAGCATCAATCACAGAGAGAGGTGCTTTGGTCCTTCAACCCTTATTCCTTCTTATGAGGAGCAGGTCGCGCTGAGATTTTTCCCTTAACGGGTAGAGGTCTTGGGGTCGCGATGCAGGCATTGCTATCCCCTTTATGTTGAGACCTGAGACTAGAAAAAAAGAAAGCTCAATCTCTTGCTATTTTCATGGTCGGCCCGACGACCTTACATCAAGTTGCCTAGGGTCCCCTGACTATGCAATGCAATATTCGATCTTCAAACACTCAATCCCAAGCTATTTCCAAGGCTGATTCTTATGGCTGGTCCGACAACCTCTCATCAACAAGGCCACCCACATGGCCTGTCTGGCGGTCATTTTCTCAATAGTCATTTCTCAAGACTGCCCCTTCCGCCCATTCACTCCTCAATTCTCTCATTCCTCAGCACCCAATCTCTGTGACCGTCCCAACGGTCCCTGCCCTTCTCGGCTTTAAGGCTCCGCCTTCTTTATCCTGTCCTTCTCATTCACATCCTTATTTCGCCGCCTTGGCTATTTCAGCGGTCGACCCACCGCCCTTTTCTATCTCTTCCGTCCATCCCTTTGGCTATTTCAATGACCGACCCACCGGCCTTTTCCATCTCTTCCATTCCATTGGCTCTTTCAAGGACCGACCCATCGGCCTTTTCCATCTCTCTCATCCATCCTTTGGCTATTTCAATGACCCATCGGCCTTTTCCATCTCTTATTGCTCATTCCAGCACATTCTCAATCAACCTTTCTCAATCAAATATGCAGGGGACCCCAACGCCTATTTCAAAAGGAATGACCCTTGTTAGGGGTCATTCCCGAACAACCTGGTTAGGGTCGTTCTTTTCCATTCTCAAGTCGAACAGCCTGGTTAGGGCCATTCCTTTCCATTCTCAAGTCGAACAACCTAGTTAGGGCCATTCCTTTCCATTCTCAAGTCGAACAGCCTGGTTAGGGCCATTCCTTTCCATTCTCAAGTCGAACAACCTAGTTAGGGCCATTCCTTTCCATTCTCTAGTCGAACAGCCNGCCATTCCTTTCCATTCTCAAGTCGAACAGTCTGGTTAGGGCCATTCCTTTCCATCTCAAGTCGAACAGCCTGGTTAGGGCCATTCCTTTCCATTCTCAAGTCAAACAGCTTGGTTAGGGCCATTCCTTTCCATTCTCAATGTTAGTGCCCGAGGGGGTGGGCCTCGAGGTTACGGATCCCATTTCTGTCTTGGAGGTTAGAAGGTGGCCATCTCATCTTTTGAGTGCTGTTTTCTTTCTTCCTTCTCTCACAGTAATGTACTATCCATTTCATTTCTCACAGTAGTGTACCATCCATGCGTACATCTGACTTAGCGTCTAGCACTCGAGTTGGGGCTCGCGACCCCAAGCAGCACTAGCCCACCCGGCCGTTCATCCATAACAAAAGACAAAGGCGCCCCTTCCATTTTCACTCTTCCTGATCACTCAGGTTTTGGCTATTCTCTGTCTCATTCATGACTCAGTTGGATTAGGCTCCTAGGGAAGGAGTGTTCTTCACGCCCCTTAACCCATAGGTTCCCTAACCTCTCTTGTACTCGACCAATCATTCAATGCCATGGTTCGCTCGTCAATTCGTACTCAAGGTTTTCCCCTCAAAGGCATAATCCTTATCCCATCCAGAATTCACAATACACCCTCTCCCAATTGGTCTCATCCCAAATCCCATGTCTTTGTCTTATGTACCCAAGGTAGCTCATCCAAGAAGTAGCCTAAAAAACTATCTTCTATCTTATCGTGACACAGCCTTAGCTGGCCCTCTTTTCACTTCATCCTTAGCAAGCTTGCCCATACTGTACACGTTTTCGTCATTCTTATGTCTCCGCAGACAGAAAAGCAGCGATCCTTTTCAATGCTAAGTCAATACCTAGTTCCTATTGCTGCCTTGCGCCTCGTCTTGTCCAGTCCCTTGTCCACCCCGTTCCTCAGCAGGCTTTCTAACCCCCAGGCCGTAGGTCTCGATTTCTCTTTTCATCCTTACAATTTTTCGTAACTCTGCCTCGTTGAAAAAATCCAGTGGTGTGGCTTCCACCCCTGCCCTTGCGAGTTCCCGAGTCTTGATAATCCATTTGTGTCTGATCACATTGGTCCATTGTTGAAACCAATGACTGGGCGTCGGCCCAAACTCGTCCTCCCATCTGAAAGCCCCGTCGCCCGGCTGGTGCATCGGAGGCCGCCTCTCTTCCCTAGGCCTCGAGATCTCATCCCTCTCATCCCCGCTGCTGATTTCTATGACTTCTCGCACATCCTCCTCCTCGTCCTCCTCGTCTTCTGTCTGTATGGGGCTATACCCACCTGCAAGGTTATTTGGATCGTAGGTAAAAGGAATCTCTGTCCCCGTCCCATACCCCTCACAACTGTCGTGGCCGCTTCGTCCTTCAAGCGGGCTCTCCCTTCTTTCCTCACCCTCCTCATATTCGTTGCGCATGTCTTGTCCCCCCTTGCTTTCCCCATGCCAATTCTCACGTCGCTTGCCCCTGTTGACTCCTTCCTCGTCAGAGACCTGAACCTTATTTCCCATCTCTGCATTGCCTCCCTCTTCCACTTCTGCCTTTTCCTTCCCTCCCTCACTGTCAGACGAGATTTCTATACCTTCTCCCTCGCAGAGGGGTGAGGGTTTCCTACACAAGCATTTCCTTCCTCCCCTGCCTACCACTGGGCCACCCATGAGTCCTATATACAACTTTCTCTTCGCCGCTCTCCTCCCTTGGCTTGGTCCTGCTTCCTCCCCTCCGGTAGGCCGGTTGATTGCCCGCTGTCGTTTTCGTCACCGAACTCCATCTTCTCTTTTCTTTTAGACCGTGTATAACAAAACAACACCCGCAAAGCCCCTCATGCACCCATTCCCCCAGTCTGGTAGGTAGTCCCCCTCCCCTTTTTTTCCCAGAATGCTCCCAACATCCTTCGCAACGTGCCCCTATTATACATGCGAATGCGTCGTTTGTGATGACCCCATTTTTTTCCCGTCAAAAACTATGGTACAATGCCCCAGACATCCCTTCCCGTTGTCACACAAGCCAGATATTGCAAACCGCCAAGTCATGCTGCCTTTCAACCTCAGTCAGTCCAAGCCAAAGCCCCAGTCCCCAAAAAAATAACAGTCCCATGAACATGGTCAGAGACAAACCATAGTGTGGGCAAGGCTGTGGTCAGTCTTTAGCTTGTGGCTCCTTAGTTCCTTATCTTCGGCCTCCTGAAGCCATTGTTCCACTGGGTCCCGACTTAGAAACTTGACCAATCGTTGCCCCGGGAAGGGCCCTTTCAATCCAGTTCCATCCAAATCTTCCTGTTCGAAGGTGTTCAGTCCCACCCGCTTGGCGACCCGGTAGGGGCCTTTGAACCTCCTTCCCAACTGTCCCGACCAAGTACTTTCCAGTGCCGAGTTCCTTAGCAATACCATCTCCCCCACTTGAAGTGGCTCCTTTCTGACATTCTTAACCTGGTCCCACCTTGCCTTGTCCCTCATTCTGCTGTCCAGTACCCGGTTGGCGATGTCTTCCATGACCTCCTCATTCTTAAGAATTTGTTGACATCTTGCCTCGATTAACTCTTCAGTGGTCATTTGCGGATCATCATTTATCCTATTCCAGGTAGGTACCAAGGCTTCCACAGGAAAGTCGATCTCTCTTCCGTACCAAAGCTCTGCCGGGATACATCCTGTTGTCCTTTTAGGGGTCATATTCTCTGCAAAGACAACCTGCTTAAGATACCTAGGCCAGTTCCCCAGATGGTCCGCTGCGAGCTTTGCAATCGTGTTCTTCAAGGTTCAGTGCCCCCTTTCCACAGGTGCATTGGCCTCAGGGTGATACGGCTCGATGAGTTTGATTGGTATGCAGAGTCTCTTAAGCATCCCCAATACTTCTTGGTTCACAAACTCCGTCCCATTGTCTGCTATAAACCTCCTGACGAACGGATGCCTCAAGTAGAAGTCTTCTATCCAGTCCGCCACACTCCTCCCTGTCTTTTTCTTGAGGGCGACTGCCTCCACGAACCCGTTCAGGTTGTCTCGCGCATCCAGGATATACCTGTACCCATCCATTGATACAGGCATGACCGCGAGGTCGAGGTGGACCAAATGCCCCGGCCCTAGCACCCGCGTTGGTCTAAGCGGCTCGAAGACCCGCACCGAGCTTCGTTCTTGGCAAGTAAGGCAACTCTGGCAGTATATGGCGACCATGCCTGCCATGCCTGACCAATAATAGAGTGGCGTTATCTTTGCAAGTGTTCCTTTGGACGACCGATGACCTCCAACTAACCCGTCGTGCATTGCCTGGATAACGTCTACTTGCCTAGGTCTTCCGCACACAACCCCTCTGGGCATAGCACCTTCCTCCCTTCGGAACAAATGCCCGCCCCTTAGGACGTACCTTTCGGCTTCTTCTCTTGCTTTAATACTGACTTCCGTAGGTTGTTTGTTTCCTACCAACAACAGCCCGATCTCCCGAAAGAGCCCTTCGTATGATTGGACATAGAAAAACTCCTCCCCTTCCTGGCCCCCATCCTTTCCTTCCTGCATTTGACTTACCTCCCATCGCAACTCCTTCCTTTCCCAAGATTCCACTAGGCTCATTACTGCTTCCCGGCCTCCCTTGACTGCCATCGCCATTAGTTCCTCTTTCGGTCCTATTATCGTTCCCCATGAGTCCTTTTCTTCTCCGCGTATTCGAGTGGTAATTGGTCCTTCTCTAAGTTCTGCTACTATGGCAGGTGCCCCCTTCTCCAAAGTCTGGATTAATTGTTCTCCCGATGTGCATCCCCCGCTCATCATTTCGTTATCCACCGCGAGAGTCCCTCCCTTTGTATTCGAGGAATGCGTCTATGGGCTCTGCATCCTCCATCCCTTCGGGAGTGATGCAAACCCGACTCAGCCCATCTGCCTTGTTGCGGATTCCAGCAATCCGTTCGATCTTGTAATCGAACTGCCAGATGAATCCTACCCATCTCCCTATCGTCGGATCCATAGGCCTGTAGTTCTTTAGAGCCCCTGCGACATTCGTCGACATTCGTCGGATCGATCCTTAAGATGAACCGCCTCCCAAATAGGTAGGCCTGGAAGGTCTTAAGGCAATGCAGGATGGCTAGGACTTCCGTCTTGAATTGCGAGTACCGCTGTTCTGTGGACTTCAAGGTTCTACTTTCGAACCTAATCGGCCTCTCTTTTTCTCCCTCATCCCTTTGAATCAACACACCTCCTACGGCCAAAGGTCCTCCATCCATCTCTAGGATGAAGGGTCGTCCCACTTTGTCATTAAAACAAGGCGCGGACAGGGCGACTGTCTCAGATGTCAATATGTCCTTGAGCCTTTGGACAACTCCTTCTCGCTCCTCTGTCCAATCCATGGTTCCTTCTTCCCTGATCATAGCCCGAATAGGCTCAACAATCTTGGCAAAGTTCTTAATGAAGATCCTCCAAAAGCCGACTACGCCTAGGAATGCCCTTACCTCCGTCGTCGTGCGCAGTGGTGTCGGCCACTGTGATATCTTGTCGGTCTTTGCCGGATTCGGCTTCCTGCCGTAAGCACCGCAACGAAATCCTAGCATAGTTACCTCTGGTACTGCTAGGATACTCTTTGGTCCACTAGCCGTAATGTTGTATACTAGGAACCGGCGGAGTAAGTCCTTGATGTCCTGCAGGTGTTCCCACACAAAACGTCGGATCCCTGGCTGGACTTCCGTCTCGTCCTTCTCCTGCGCGCCTTTGATCGGATTCCCATCGATGTAAGGCTCACATTTTTATGGGAATATGTCCCTGGCCACGGCGAGCATCCTGTGTTGTGCTTCGGCCACCGCGTTTGTGAATCCCATGGGGGGTCACTTGCATCTGTAGCTGGCCTACGGGGGTGTGCATAGCGGTGTATGGCCTGTCCCGAACATCCAATGGAAGTTGGTCGTACCCTGAGTACAGATCTATCATGGAGTAAATGCTCCGACCGGCGTGCGATTCTGCTAATAAGTCAGCCTGAGGTAGCAAGCCAGCATCCCGGATGGTTACCGCATTCAACTTCTGCAGGTCCTGAATCCACCTTATTGTCTTGTTAGGCTTCCGAAAGACTAACCACCGGTTTGCGTATGGCGACGCCGTAGGCTCCACAACGAAGGAGTCCATTTTCGCTCGGAGGAGGTCTGTTACTTCTCCTGCTATCCCAAATTCATAGGATGGCCCCTTGTCATTCCTGCACTCATGTTCTACCGTGTGGATTCTGACCGGAGGGATCAACTTCGCATCCAGTCGTCCCTTCTGGTGATCACTAAAGGCAAATGCCTGGTGAAACTCCTGGCAGGTCCTTTTGATCAGGCGGGTTTCTTCTTCCGTTAAGAACCCGTCTATCCCTATCTTCATTGTGTCAGCTACCTCATCTGGTATCCAATGTCCCTCCGTCGCCCTTCTTTCTCGGATCACTTGAAGGACCTCTTCCTCCTTTTCCATAGCCGCTTCCTTTGATGTCTCTAGCAGGAACGAGACCGGTTTTGCTTTCTTCCCTACCGGCTTGTACTTTCGAACACTTCCTTCCGGGATCTTTCTCCTAAAAAATGAACAGTCGGAATTGCTCCCGTCGCCTCTACGACTCGTGGTTGAATACTAACTAGTTTCCCATTCAGGCAATATCCCTTTTGCACCTCTCTCTCGAACTTGGCCAAGGCTGCCGAATCCACTCCTACCTTGTGGTATCTGAGGGCCTTGATGAGTTGCAATAGCTCGGGGATCTCGAGTGCGATTTCTGGCACGTCTATGCGTACTTCTTTCCGTTTGGGCAGGCTAGCACCAAGTTCAACCTCTGACTCCTTTTCTGCTACCATAACACCTAGGACTTCGTCCTCCTGCCTCCTCTTCTTCTGGGGCAGGCCCATCTTGATCCACTCCTTCTTGTTGAATGCTTCCTCAATCATGATTTTTACCCTTTCTCTCATACCCTCCATCCGTGCGAAAGCCCCTTTTCGCGTGCTATCCTCGAACGACGGCGACCATGTTGCCAATTTCCCCTTCGGGGGGTCTCCTCCCGTTCCAAGGAGTCGGAGGAGCTCTCCCCGGCCGGTTACAGGGTCCTCTATGTCTACCATGTATGAGCCACCGTGCAAGTGCATGCCTATCATCTCCACGTTCGCGCACCACGGTCTTCCGAGGATTATGTCGTGGTCCATTTCCTCCATTACGGTCATCCGCTGAAACGACCAGATCGATTCTCTGACCCCTGCCTTCACAGCACACTTCGTGACGTACCCAGCGAACGGGATTTCCCCGCCAGCTCCTCGGATGCTCCCTGTTACTTCCTTGTTTACCGTACATCCTGTGATCGTTGCGAAATCTCGTCTTATGAGAGTGATTTCTGCCCCCCCGTCTACTAACGCGTCGGTATGAGGAGTCCCGATCTGGATTTTCAGTTTCCCTACGGGCAGTGCATGAAAGCTAAGCTTTGTCTCGAGTGGTGATCTCATGACTTCGCCGCCCTCCCTGTCGGGCAAGCTCAAACGAATGTCTGCAAAGGCTTTTTCGAGATCCTCCAAGTCCCCGTGACTCCTCTGAAGGTTAGCCACTTCTTGCGGAGCTTCCTCCTCCCTCTCCCCTTCTGGTAATTCGGGGTTGTCGTCTATTTCTACTCGCCTCTGAGTCAACAGTTGTCTGAGCCCTTTGAGCAACCTAGGGCTAGCCTGCAGCATGGTCTGAAAAGACACCGACACCATGGTTCCTAGTAACTTGCTAATGGTGTCGTCGAGCTCAGGCAATGTTAAGATCGGGATTTGATACCGAAACTTCTTCTTAGCGGCGGTAACCTTGTCCGCAGGCTCCTCTTCCCTAGGCTTCCCATAGACTTTCTCTGGTTCCTCGGCCTCAGGCTCTGCCTGGGGTTCGGAGCTTCCGGCCACCTCCTCCATAATGGTGTCACGGTTAATCCTTCTCCCGGCTGTTCCCAGTCGAGTGGTTGCGTTCACCCTATCACGTCCGTCGTTTTCCAAAATAAAGTTGGCCTGAGGCCCGCGCCCTCGGAGTTGATCCCAGATGATCTCGCCCACCGGTTCGGCTTCTACGGCTGTTATTTCTAACCCGTTGAACATGATAATGGCTCGCCGCATCCCTCCTGGCGAGTTCCAGTTCACCCGTTCCCCTTGTGGTCCAAATATCTCCCCCTTTAATGATCTGGTACACCTTCTTTTCAGAATATCATGGTTGAGCTTTGGGCACGCGCGCACATAATGTCCTATCGCGGTACATTACTTGCATTGCTCGTTAGCAGGATCTTTCCGTCTGAATCCCTGGTTGGCTACACCTGGCGGAACCACAGCTTCCTGGGGAGGGAGGGCGGGTCGGGATACTTGCGCCTGCACAACCAGTAGCGCGCCTTCCATCCTTTCAATCGTATTGTCGACCCCGTGCACCCGTTCATGTTGACTTTCAATTCCCTTCTTTACCTTGTCGCTCGTCCTACCGGTCAGATCTATGATCTCTCCTTCCTTGAGCAAGGCCAACGTTTCTGTTACTACCGTTTTCTCAGCCAGATCCGTTACCGTGCTAAAATCAACATCCCGCGTGTTTACGAACTTGCTCGTCTGTTGGTAAGCTGACAGGATTTTATCTTTGTCGAACTCGGAGAACTGCCTGAGGAAATATTTGCTCATTATCCGGTCCGTGACCCCGGGGATCCTTAGTGCTACTAGAGTAAATTCTCGTAGGAAATCATTGTACGTTGCGAAGTTCTTCCTCCGAAGTGCCGCTAGGTCGGCCTCCGTTGCCATTTTCTCTGCCGCTAGGTACTTCCTCATCATCACATCCCGGGTCTCCTTCCAAGACCGGCTTGCGGCTACAATGGCCATTATGTCCCGTCCTAGGCTTAACGACACATGCTGTCCTAGATGGTCCATCTTTTCCTCCTCGATCCACTTTAGCAACGCAACTAGGTTCTCGAAGTCGATCAGGAACTCCGTGATGTTTGCTCCATCGAAAGTCTGCTTTTTCTTGGCGTCTGCCAGATAGCCTTGGTTCTTGTTCAGTGCTCGTATAAGGGATGATACTATCTTCCTAAGGCCGCCTTCGGAGCTACTGGCCTCGCCTGCCATGCTGGTATCTGGCCCTCTAGTCTTTGCCGTTCCTTCCGGGTCGAACCATCCCAACACCCTTTCTCTGAGGCTCCAGAGCCCTTCGCATCCTCGCGATACTGCTGGCGTGGTCGGCAGACGGCTAGCCCTACTATCTATGGCCGACGGGGTCGTAGCCTTCTCTGCCTCCATTCCCGACGAGTTCTCTCTCTCTTTCCTTCTTTTGCTCGGCGTTCCCCCACGGTCACTACCCTTGTCCCCTTGCCTAGTTCCGCCCCTGGTTTTCCGTTCGTCCCGCGGTACCTCCTGCAGAGGGCCTTCTTCGTTCCCAGTCATCATTTCCTCCATCAATCTTGCCTCGTTCTCCGCGGTTCTCCTTTTTATGTTGGCTAGTTTGTGCCTCGCATCCGTGACCCTTACTTTCTTAGACATGGCTCCTTCCGAGCTTCGGGGGCTTGTCCTATCCTTATTTCTGCCCTCCTTGGTCTCCGGAGTCCCTTGCCAGCTTCCCCCGGCTTTCCCCGAGCTTTCTCCTGTGGAGATTTCCTTCCGGTTTCCTTTGGTACCATCCGGATTTGTCGATTCTCTGTCCTTCTGCCCCCTTTCGCTTTGTGCGGCACTGGCTCCTAAGCCTGGTTCTCCTTCACTCTTACGGTTATTTGTCTCCTCCTCCGTTGCCATTTTGCCTAGTTCTGCATAAGCCAAAGAGTTCCCAGGATACACGCAATGCGAGGTACTTAGGTTTCCTAGGCTCCCAGCTCTGTTGGCTTATCTTTATAGCCCCCTTTCCTATCCCCGTTTCCTGATTGCCTTTCCCTAAGGAGGAGCCACGAATGGCCCTGCCGCCCAGCCGATCTATGAACGTGACTTGGCTTCCTTTATCACAAACTCAGTTGTGGTGCCCTTGTCCCGTCGGCCGATGCGAGGGAGTCCGGATTAGGCATTCTGCTAGGGAAGGTCTTCCCGAGTTTTGTTTCCTATTTTTGATCTTCAGGGTTATGATCAATCATTAGGAGCCTACCCCCTTCTTTGTTTTTCGAGCGGGTTTTAGCCATCCGGGTCCGAGCCCCCTTTCTTATTCCCATCGGCGAACTTCCGTACGTAGCAACTATACTCGATCTGCCCTATTGGCCCGCCTGCGGATGCTAGTCCCGTTCTCGCCCTCGCGGCTCTTCCGGTTTGGTCGGCTCCTCGAATAGTTCAGCCACCCCTGCCAAATAACTCTCTCCTATCTCGATTTCCCTTTGGATTATGCGTTCCCACCCCGTCCAGTCTATAGCCGGGGCGCACAAAACATCAGGATATGGATGACTTCCAGTAATTCGTGGGCCCTGTTTCCCCAGAACGGCCCATGCCTCACGACGACATTATAGAACATCGCGATGGTCAGAGAGGAAAAGTGGTCTGCCCACATTATTGCCGAGTCTGCCAGCTCCCGCGCCCTCGCGAGGCTCCCGAAGACGAGATCTATCATAAAACGGGGAACCCGGCACCTCAGCGGTGTGGTTGGTGCCCTGAACTCCCTCCAACCTCCCATTTCTACCTGGGTAAGTAAGCCCACATTCCTTCTTCCCGTGACCGATTGTCCTATCCGGGTCAACGTCCGGGCGGCCCTTCGAAAAACCGGTGCCAGCTCATGACCTTGTACTATCTCTACCCCCAACGAGTGCCATCCGATCTCAGGCAGATACATGGTCCGGGTAACTTCCAAATTGGAATACAGATCATCCTCGGGTCCTCGATTGAGTCTCATCCCTGTCCATCGACATTTTACCAACATGAAGGCGGCGTCCCGTCCCAAGGTCACGGCCCGCCATTCTATGTCGAAACCCTGATAGGTAGAACTCGATGGGAGGGATACTTCCCATCGTCCACCGTTATTCCAAGGCGGTCGGGGGTAACGGGGCTGGCGTTCCATTCGCACACGGGGCTGGCGCTCCATTCGCTCACGTCTTGCTGCCATCGTTGCCTTGGTAATTCCCTGCAGAATCCACATAGAGAGGGTTACAACCAATCCCCAGAAACTGCCCACCTACTGCCTTCCTTGTCCTTCGTGTTTTCATTCCTCTTTTCTAGTCCCAACTATCCCTCTATACCCCCGGGAGCAGTAGCCTCCTCTGGCTGTTCGTACAGCCGGTCGAGATCATCTATGTAGGTCACGCCCCGACCTACCTCCTGCCGGATGACTCTCCACATGGCCTCATCACTTATGTGTGGGACTCCTGGCCTAGTATTTACTACTGCTCGTAGAATGCAAAGCACCTCGCGCCCTTGTTCGTCCCCAAAAGGCCCCATCTCTAGGAAGGCCCGATAGTATTCTTGATACATTAATGCTCCGTCAGGATTTAGCCTAGTTACGGCAGTCACCGCCTACCGCACTCGTTCTATGCCTCCCATTCGTCTTAGCAGGAAGGGTGGTAGAATCATTCGTACAACCTCATTTGGCAGCTCGAAAACCCCCGCCGCGGTGACTTTTACCTCCGCCGTTACGTCATCTCGTTCCGGGTCTGCAAACTCAAACCCCTCCCGCCAGGTTATTTGCCATGCCCCTTCGAACATTCGCACGGGGTCCTCCCCGGAAGCCAAAGCAATCCCAAAGGTCCGCCATCCCCCTTCCGACAGGTGTAAGGATCCCGTCGCATGTACACGCCCTGGGAGGTTCAAGTTTACGCCCCCGAACTCCCCTCTCGCACGCCATTCCAGCTCCACTACTAAGTACACCATATCTTCCACCAACTCTACCCCCACCAAGTCCATTACCGAATTGCTTACCGCATTTCTTGCCGGCAGGCTTATTTCGACCCTGCCTTCTGATATTCTTGGTGGCAGGATCCCACGAGGTCTATCCTCCCAGAACGTCATTCGCCAGGCCATCTCGCAATGTCTCCTTTCCTGCTTTCTTAGTCCGATTGCTGCACCCACCGAGATTCCGTGCCTCTCGTGTTTTAGTCTTTCAACCCTCCCTACTTATCGAACACTGGTTCTTGCCGCTATCCCCAACTCATACATGTTCAATTCTGCCCCCTCCCATTTTCCGGTTGCTGCCACTTCTCCCTTGTTTCGATCCTTATGCACCATCTACGGCCTAACGTACACACCCCCTTTCTAAAATGTGCTAAAACCCCCCAAACCACTCGGCTATGAACTCCGGTACCCAAGCCGTTAACCGTAGATTTGGAGGCTTAAGTTCCTTCCATCCTCCCATCACAACTCTGCTACTAACTTCGTCCCATCTCTCGTTGGCGAACCGCTTGCCTTCTTTTCGGGTTCGGGCTTCCGCATCCCCTAGAAGCCACATCGGGTCCTGCCCCATTGCTAACATGGTGCAAAACAGGTGCCATCCCTCCTCGGAAAGGACAATCGTTCCGACTGACTCTTCCTTGCCTTTTGCTATATCATCCCAACCTTCCTTTTCCCTTATTGAGTTCCAAATCCGCTTTATCCATACATATGACAAGTCCCGGGCAACCTCAAACCCAATCCAATCGCACGTGGTCCCCCCCCATCCATTCCCGGTTGGTATAGGCATTTCTATTCCTCCTCTGAGTCGCCGTGGTTCCCAGCCTTTGAAGGTGTACCCCATCATCATCTCTTCTCTAGTCATCCTTCCCTTTCCTGCACAATACCAGGCCACCCGTCCTCCCCAGGTTACGTTACCCCACCCTTCTTAGAAGTCCCAGTCCTCTATCTCTTCGTTTTCGTTTTCATCACTGAAGTCGTCCTCCTCGTCGTATACCAACTCCCTTACTGCATCTAGAAATGTCTCCCCTATTGCCACATTCATGTAGACTATCCCCCAATGCACAGCGCTAGGGACAAAGATATTGTCTATGCTAAGGCAGTTTAGTATCTCGGCCAGCTTCTCCGCCCAATTCCCCTCGAACGGCCCCATCTCTATTGATAACCGAAAAAAATCTTGCCTAGCGCATTGGTATAGCCCGAGGTTCGTCATGGACTGACATATTCGCACTAGCCTGCTCCGAGTTCCGAAAACCGCATCCACTAGGAAGGGGGGCAGCACACATTGCATGGTTCTTACGGGTCGCCTCATGCTTCCTCTATCCCCAAGTTCCACCCGTACGTCTACCTTTTCCATTTCCATTTCCCTCTGTTGACATGCAGCCCACACAACCTCTGCTTCTGCCTTCCTAAACAACTTGTTCGGTGTATTCCCGAGTGCCAACTCTATGATCATAGCTTTCTCCCCATCTTGCGACAAGTAGACCCACCCCCGCGCTTCCACTATCCCTCGGAATTCCAAATCCATTAAACTTGGCGACAACCTCGTCAAGCTGACATTAGTCCATACTGTTTCTATCCAAAGAAAAACATCCTCTCCTTCCAGCATTACCGTTTGATATGCCGGTTCATGGTCCGTCCACGTTCCATTTTTCGGGAGGACGACCGATACTCCTTCCTTTACATCTACTGGCATTTCCGGGCCGCTAATATAAATCGGGGAAGGCAACCATCGCGCCATCTTGTTTTCAGCACCCGACCCCTGTTTTCATAAAAAGAGCATCAACCGGTCCTTTTGGTCAGGTCAACCCTTGCCCTAGATGAGAATTATTTCAGACTCCTCGTCAAGGTCATCCTATTTTACCTGCCCATTCCTAAGTACCTTCTTCCCATAATTCCCTCGGTCGACCATCTATTTGCCCACATTCTTTCTCTTGGTTCCATTCCAACTGACCTCTATCCTTCTTCCTTCCGATCATCTCTCACTCGTGCGGACTCAGATGGGGGGGGGGGATAAACTTAGAAATATGTCCCGTCCAACAGTCCGAACTCAATCAATTTTTACAGAGGGGGAACACATAAAAAAAATCAGGCAACCTCACAAACGGGCCGGTCATCTCCTCACCGGCCATCCCAATATGGTCTCTCCGCTGGTACTATCGGTAGAGTTTTATCCCATACCTCAAGCGCAGCTCAACCGCCGCGAGCGCGGTACCCAGGTCTCGGCAAGGCATTCGCCCTTCCCTCCTTACCCAGAACACCCCATCCCGTCTTGCCGCTTTGCACATCCATACCGACACCGAGGGTTACCTCGAGTGTCTAAATACAGGGACAAAGTCAGTCGTCCGGGCATTCACTTCCTTCGGTCCGACAAGAATCACCCTCTCCCAAAACCATGCTACTAGAAGCTACTAATCGCCTCCGAGGCTCCGTCTTTGTCCGCATGCAGTGGTACTCCCTCCGCCAGCCAACAGGCTAAGCCTCGCCTGAGGAGATTTCACACCCCGTCCGGCAGATCATCGAGCCGAAGCCCGTCACCGCTCGAACGAGAATGCTACTAATCAACCGACATGACAAACTCTCGTTCGACAGCTCGGTGGTCTGACCTCCATATACGAACACACGGCAGTCTACAAAAGAGAACGACGTTTGGCAACCCGCACTAGCCGGTGCACACCAATCCTTTCCTTCCAAAAAGCAGGACGCTCGAATCCCATCATGCAAACACAAGTCCCAAGCGGGACACATATAGTACAAGTGCCATTCCCTTGGTGCACCTAGCGCTTCCTACCCATAACTCACAAATTTTCTCTCGGGACAATGAGTGTCACTCCCCCTACTTTCATACATAGTGGTTGGTTCCTTCTCGTGAGAATCTTCAAGGGTGAGTTAGTTTTCCTTGGAGTCTAGCAACTCCCTTCATTTCCCTTCTCTTCACTTGTCTGTCCTTTCATAGGGTAGGATTGTTCTTTCTTGATGACCCGTTGTGTTCATATTGGTTCCTTCAATCATTAAAAAGGTGCAACATGCATGAGCCCGCTGGGCTCAAAGAAGAAGGGGAAAGCACCCATTCGGTCGGATCACTCCGCCGCGGGATTTTCATTGGAACCTGGCCTAAGCCAAACACCAACCGCCTGCCAGGTAACCGGAGCCCTTCTTTCATATGAAGAGAATGTGAAAACTAGACTAATGGAAAGCACATGCACAATGAGTAGAGATCAACAAGGTAAAGATCCCGGACATGAACTTGACAATGAGATACTAGACTAGTGGAAGCACATGCACAAAGGAGAATAGTTTAACAAAGTAAAAAGATCCGGAACATGAACTTGACAATGAGAGACTAGACTAATCGAAAACACATGCACAATGAATAGAGATCAACAAGGTAAAAATCCGGAACATGAACTTGACAATTAGAGACTAGACTAGTGGAAGCATATGCACAAAGGAGAAGAGTTCAACAAAGTAAAAGATCCGGAACATGAACTTGACAATGAAGACTAGACTAGTGGAAAGCACATGCATAAAGGAGAAGAGTTCAACAAAGTAAAAGATCCGGAGCATGAACTTGACAATGGGAGACTAGACTAATGAAAAGCACATGCACAATGAGTAGACATCAACAAGGTAAAGATCTGGAACATGAACTTGACAATGAGAGACTAGACTAGTGGAAACACATGCACAAAGGAGAAGAGTTCAACAAAGTAAAAGATCCGGAACATGAACTTGACAATGAAGACTGGACTAGTGGAAGCACATGCACAAAGGAGATGAGATGAACAAGGTAAAGATTCGGAACATGAACTTGACAATGGGGGACTAAACTAGTGGAAAGCACATGCACAATGAGTAGAGATTAACAAGGTAAAGATCAGGAACATGAACTTGGCAATGGGAGACTAGACTAATGGAAAACACATGCACAATGAATAGAGATCAACAAGGTAAAGATCCGGAACATGAACTTGACAACGAAGACTAGACTAGTGGAAGCACATGCACATAAGAGATCAACAAGGTAAATATCTTGAACATGAACTTGACAATGGGAGACTAAACTAATGGAAAGCACATGCACAATGAGTAGAGATTAACAAGGTAAAGATCCGGAACATGAACTTAACAATGAGAGACTAGACTAATGGAAAGCACATGCACAAAGGAGAAGAGTTGATCAAAGTTAAAGATCCGGAATATGAACTTGACAATGAAGGATTAGACTAGTGGAAAGAACATGCATAAAGGAGAAGAGTTCAACAAAGTAAAATATCCGGAACATGAACTTGACAATGAAGGACTAGACTAGTGGAAGCACATGCTCAAAGGAGAAGAGTTCAACAAAGTAAAAGATCCAGAACATGAACTTGACAATGAATACTAGACTAATGGAAAACACATGCACAATGAATAGAGATCAACAAGGTAAAGATCCAGAACATGAACTTGCAATAAAGACTAGACTAGTGGAAAGCACATGCACAATGAGTAGACATCAACAAGGTAAAGGTCCGGAACATGAACTTGATAATTAGAGACTAAACTAATGGAAAGCACATGCATAATGAGTAAAGATTAACAAGGTAAAGATCCGGAACATGAACTTGACAATGGGAGACTAGACTTATGGAAAACACATGCACAATGAATAGAGATGAACAAGGTAAAGATCCGGAACATGA